GTATGCATAGATTTGCACTTTGTCTGTCTCTGAAAAAAAAAAAAGAAAAAAAAAAGAAAAAGCAAAACAAACCCAGATCTTTAAATTGTCTAACCTTCATTAACAGTAATCACATAGACATAATTCCGTAACAACACTGCCAATCTCACCAACCACCACACAAAAAAGAAGAAATAAAGGTACATAAATTTGAAAAAGAGAAACAAAATTAGAAGGTTTGATTGATGCAGAGTAGTAGTAGGGGAGAGAGTTGGATGAGCATGGGTGTTTTGAAATTTAAAAATTGTGAGTGAGACTAAAAGAAAAAAAAGAGGAGAGTTTATAGAGAGAGTTCGATAAGCATGGGTCTCTTTTTTGTAGGAAGTGGATGGGTGTGTTTTGAAATTTAAAATGTGGAAGTGTGAGGTGAGAGAGTTCAATGAGCGTGGGTCTCTTTTTTGTAGGGAGTGGATGTCTGTGTTTTGAAATTTAAAATGTGAAAAGGTGAGGTGCAACATATAAGGATGGGTGGTTGCAAAGTTTGTGGCTCTTGGGCGGGAAATTCAGGTAGAGTGAGAGATAAGGTTTTCATCTCAGCTGTCCATCTAAATATAGAAATGAATCAGGACCATTGAAATGTCCTAATAGGACAATTGTCTCTAACATATTTTTAAAAACCTTTGTGCCTTATTATATAGATTTTCAAATATTATATTGTATATTTTTAGTGATTAATTATTTTTTATAAGAAAAAATTTATTAAGAGTTTGAACAAAATTATAAAAGAATCGTATATCCCTTATTCTTATTCTTATTCTTATTCTTATAAAAAGAGTGGTATTTTTTGTGAGTGGTTTTTGAGATAAAATCATTTTGTGAGGTGTGACTAGGCCCCAGATTCAAAACTAATCGGAGTGATCGGGATTGGTTACTTGTTATAAAGGTTCACTAGCACTCGTAAAACTAGTGGTGTAATTATTATTTGAAGAATAGTAGAGAAATTTTCGAGGAGGATACTTGGGGAGTGGACGTAGGTTCGATGTGCCGAACCACTATAAATTGCTGTGTTTGTTTTCTCTTCTTTTTGCTCATTTTATTTCTTTACTCTATTTTATACTGTTGAGCATCTTTATTTATTTATTATTTGGGTTGATTTTTTAATTTACCAATTTATTTAGAAACCCAATTCACCCATTTCTTAGGTTGTCTTCTAAGTAACAACTACCAACTACAACATTCAAAATGCTTGTGCATAATATTGAGATGCGTCAACATAAAGATCTATTATACAATTTTGAGGGAAAGTCATCTATTTAAGTAAATTTGTATATTGTATTATTTTTTCTTTGTCTAAGGTTTTTTCTCATTGGATTTTCTTTAGCAAGGTTTTAATCAGACAATCACTACAACAAAAATAGTCTTTAGACACGAAAACTAATGACGAAATTTTTTTTTGTCACGAAATACGTATCTTTTAATGACGAAAATCATATTTCGTCTCCAAATGTACTATTTTTGGAGACAAAAATAAAATTTCGTCACCAATCTAAATCATAATAAAAAAATTAGGTGACGAATTATTTGTTGTCATTATTTATATTTTTTTTGTCACCAAATATTTCCTCGCGAATTTTTTTGGAGAGTGCCAAAATTTTGAGATTTTTGGTGACGAAAAAATTAGTCATCAATTATAAAATTATTAATGACAAATAATTTTTGTCACTAATAATTTTTAATATTTTAATATCATTTAGTGATAAAACAATTTTTGTGGCCAATATTTTTATTTTTGGTGAAGAAATAATTTTGTCATGAATAAATAATTTAGTTATTAAATATTTTAGGGGGGGAAAAAAATGTTTCGGCGCCTCAAACACACAATAATTTATCGGTTCAAACCTATTTCTCACACACACACAGAGGCGACGCCGCTGCTCACTCTCGTCATCGATTCAGACACAGATTCATCGCCGATCGGCTCACTCTGCTCACCGCCGTCACCCTCTCCTCACCGCCGCTGATCTGTTAGCTTCTCCTCTCCTCACCGCCCCTCGCTGCTGTGCCGATCTAGCCTCTCCTTCCCTTGCCGATCTCATCTCCTCTTCTCACCACCACTGATCTGTTAGTCTCTCTCTCTCTCGTTGCTCTTTTCTCTCGATGCTCTCTCTTTCTCTCTTTTCTTTTGCTACTCTGTGTTCTGTATACATTATATTGTTATACATATA